AGCAGAGACCACTGCTCCTCTGTGAAATACACAGCCACGTCCTCAAATGACACATAAACCTGAGGGGGAAAAATAATCCTTTGTTTTTATAGAATGCTTTTCCCCCACACACACGTTATTTCAGAAATGTGTATAAATAATTCTGCATGGCAAACCAACATGCTTTAACTCAAACTGAGAAACAGCAGCCATGTAGTGAGTTCATGAACATGCTAAACACGAACTGGAGACTTTTGGTCTTATGGGAGTGGTGGAAAGTGCCATCGAGTTGCAACCAACTTATGGCGACCTCTCATGGGGTTTTCAAGGCAAGAGACAAACCGAGGTGGTTTGCCACTGCCTGCCTCTCCAGAATCTTCTTTGGGGGTCTCCAGGGCTATTTTTGAGCAGGAACGCACAGGAACGGAGTTCCGGCTGGCTCCCGAGTTGGCCTCGCCCAGCAGGAGCTCATTAGCATAACAGGCCAGACCCAACAGCAGAAACTCATTGGAATTGGCTACGTTAGGGGTGTGTGGCCTAACATGCAAAGGAGTTCCTGCTACAAAAAAAGCCCTGGGTTTTGACAACAAACAAGGTAAACAGAATAAGAAGCAAAAGGTGGGTGTGGCTGGATGAGCACACTTCTGGTAACATGGGGGTGCGGCCTAATGTGCTAATGTGCCAGGCTTGGTCTGGGGGGGGGGGTATATGGGGGTATATGGGGCTGGGGGGCATATGATTCCCTCAGGGGAATCAGCAGCATTTGGGGGAAGGGATCTCCCCCCGCGCAAGTATCATAGGTCTCCACTTGTGCTCCCCAAGTTCCAAGAAAGTGAAAGATGCCCCAAGCAACATTTTGAGTTACCTTCACCTCAGAAGAAACCTCCCAGTCCATAACCTTTGTCACCTCTGTTTCAGCCATTTCCATTTTCCAAGGAGCTGGACATCCGGTGTCCCCTGGGGATGTTGCACCAGCAGTCTTTGAAGAGTGATGTTAGATGGTTTCCTTGATCACAGTGGTGTCCTTTCTAAACAAACCTGACCTGAAAACGGATAATGGCAGGGCAGGGAACCAATAAATCAAGGTTGTGGATAAATGGATTTAATCTGCCCTCATATTGGAGAAGAGACTCATATGAAGAGAAAGCAATACAAGGTCATCTGGATAGACGTGAGCCAAATTTCCAAGGCTCCATTGAAGCAATTCCATTCGAAGACAGTTGTGGAACTGCCTGTCAGTTGAAAGAAGGCAGTTTCAACTGCATAACCCTGCCCAGACTCCAGATGGGGCCTGGAGTTCTCCTGGAAATATGATTGATCTCCAGATGCCAGAAATCTGTCCCCCTGGAGAAAATAGCAGATTCAGAGTGCAAATTCGAGGGTATGCCATAGATTCCAGGTGAAGTCCCTACCCAGATGCCTTCCTCCATGGGCACTGCTCCCAAATCTCCAAGAATTTCCCAGGCGAGACTTGGCAACCCTAAACACTAATAGCGCCGGGGTTGTCAAAAGGCAACGGAAACATGCAAACAGCGCGTGGCAGTGCCTCACAACCCCTTCCTTGGACTGAGCCTCTGCTTTCAGTTTTTTTCATCTGAACCAGAATTCTATTTGAGGGATGGAGGAATGTTTAGACTGGAGGAGGCACATAGCTCACACACACAGACACACACAAACACACACCCACAATCCCAGTTAAAGGTGGTTGCAAAGAAGACCTGCTGTCCAACCCATATTTTGTCTCGCTCTGTTGGATCCGAGGCGACAAGGTCAATCGTGGGATTTCCCAAACTGCAGTTCCAACTCTCGTCAAAGGCTGTCTCCCGCCCCCGTTTCCCTCCTCCCCTTTCCACGCTCCCCCTTACAAGCTCTCCGCCCACCCACTTCACTTTGCGAATGTTGCTCTCCTGCACGCAGACCTTTTCTTCCTCGGTCCTGAACCGACGACCCTCGCCCGGCCGGCCTCCTCCTCCTCCCAGGAAGGCCGCCTTGTCTGCTATCCTCCGCGCCCCCCTCCCCAAGCGAGCATCGGGTTGACGTCTACGAAGGCTCCTTTTCACCGTTGCACCATTGCTGTCCGGCCGCTTTATTTGGGGGGCGGCTGGCTTCTTCCCCGCTTCCTATCATGTGACCGAAGCCCAGCCAGACTCCTGGCAACACAAAACCCATCCAGTCTTCTCCCTGAGAACATGGATGGAGAGGGGAGGGGAAAGCAAGTAGGTCTGGGAATTTAGGGGCGCTGGAAAGTGAAAATCCTCAGGTGAATTTCCTGCACTGAGCAGGGGGTTGGACTAGATGACCCTCGAAGTCCCTTCCAACTCTATGATTCTAGGTGTCCCCCCCTTTCTCTGCCTGCTCCTTTCCTCCTGCCTCTGCTTCCCAGAGCAACATAATCCCAACCATAATCAATGCCGTCCAAATTTAATTCTGGAAGGATAGCTGTGTTGCAGTAAAAGAAGGGGAGATTGTCTGGGACATCACAGATTAAGGGGATTTATTCCAGGATCGTTTCAGAGGGTACCTTGGGTTGCCAGCCTCCAGGTGGTAGAAGCCAAAAATGAGAGATCGGGAGGAAGTGGCATTCCAAAAACAAGGAAGAGTCAATAAAGATAAGTTGCAAAAACATTTACTGCAATTTATTACTACATTTACTGTAGTAACGCGTGTGAGCGATAATAGAAGAACATTTTCTACAGAATTACTACAGGAAATGTTTTTGCGATTTATCTTTATTGACTCTTCGTTGTTTTTGTCACGGATTTTGTTTTTGGAATTCCTCAGACTCCAGGTGGTGGCTGGAGATCTCCTGGGATTACACAACTGATCTGGAGAAAACGGTTCTGTAAAATGGAGTCTACAAATTATACCCCATTGAAGTCCCTCCACTCCTCAAATCCTACTTTCCTCAAGCTCAACCCCCCCCCCCAAATCTCCAGGTAATTTCCCAACCAGTGTTCCCTCTAAGCTGAGTTAGTGTGAGCTAGCTCACAGTTTTTTAGCCTCCGGCTCACACATTTTTGTCTCGGCTCAGGGAGGAGGCCTCCAGAGCAAACTAATTTATGCAGTAGCCAAGTCGCTCGCTCACAGCTTTAATGCCAGTAGCTCACAAAGTAGAATTTTTGCTCACAAGACTGCATGGCTTAGAGGGAACATTGTTCCCAACCTGGAGCTGGCAGCCCTAAGAGTACCTCTGCTAGTCTACAGTAGAAGCAATAGATTCAGTTACAGTAGCACCTTAAAGCCGAACAAGAGTCAAAAGCCTTCGAGAGTCAAAGCTCTCTTCATCAGATACCAGCGTCAGCCAGCTTTCACGATGCGGTTGCCGGCTCTGAGTTGGGAAACACCTGGAGGTTTTGGGGGTGGAGCCTGGGAAGGGAGTGGTTTGGAGAGGGGAGGGACCTCAGCGGGCTCCAATGCCACGGAGTCCACCAAAGCAGCCATTTTCTCTGGGGGAACTGATCTTGGTCCGTCCCCTGGAGATCAAACTGTAATAGCAGATCTCCAGGTGCCTCCTGAAGGGTAGCAATCCTATTTCATGAGCCAGAGCTCGCTTACAAAATCTTATGCTGGAATAAATGCGGATAATCTCTATAGTGCTGCTAGGGTTGCCAATCGCCACGTGGCGGCTGGAGATCTCCCACTATTGCAACTGATCTCCAGGTGACAGAAATTAGTTCTCCTGGGGAAAAATGGCAGCTTTGGAAGGCAGACTCTGTGGCATTATATCCCACTGAAGTCCCTCCCCTTCCCAAGCCCCACCCTCTGCAGGCTCCACCCCCAAAATCTCCAGGTACTTCCCAACCTGGAGTTGGCAACCCTAGGTGCTGTACAATTTCTTTTTAGGGAGCGGGCTGGCAAAGGAACTTTCTCATTACTTAATCTTTTGTATCAATGGCTTTGCAAGACTCAAGACCACAAAGATCCCACTGGTGGACCTCCTGATGGCACTGGTATTTCTGGCCTCTGTGTGACACAGAGTGTTGGACTGGATGGGCCTTTGGCCTGATCCAACATTGGCGTCTCTTATGTTCTTATATTTTACCAAGTCACAACATTCAGACATCTAAATTCAGTAATGACTCTTCTGACTGGCAAGAGCTCTTCAGTGTCTCAGGTAGAGAAGAGTCTCCACAGACTGCTAGCTGAAGATCTTCATGACTGATAAACCTCTGGGCACCTTTATCTGTGATAAAAGAACAGGGCTGAACATGTTTGTTGTAGACCTGCCAACCTCCAGGTGGGGCCTGGAGACCTTCTGGAACTACAATGGATCTCCAGACTAATTTGGTAATGCTAGTCCTATTGCATTTTTTAAAATGGTGAAGTTCTTCACTGATTGGCAGGTTTAAATGCCTAAGAGAGCAATCCTAAACAGGTCTACTTATAAATCCTGTTCTAGGTTACTCACTGGGGCTGATTCCCAGGATTCCCTGGAATATGAATCATAGCCTGGTGATGGTTCGGTTGAAGGAGGTGGTAAGTACAGTGAGTTCAAGCAGAAGCAGAAATACCATCCCATGCTTTGCAGAGAAAAATAAGTGATTAAAATGTGGAATTCGCTGCCAGAGGATGTATGGCCACAGGCGATGACAGCTTTAAAAGGGGATTAAATAGATGCATGGAGGATAGGTCTATCAGTGGCTAAGGGCCATGGTGATTAAAAGGAGCCTCCACATTCCGAGGCACTAAACCTCTGAATCCCAGAGCCAGGAGGCAGCATCAGGGGAAGGCCTCAGCCTCTGTGCCCTGTCGTTGGACCTCCAGAGGAACTGGTTGGCCACTGTGTGAGACAGGATGCTGGACTAGAAGGACCAGCGGTCTGATCCCGCAGGGCTCTTTTTATATTCTTAAAAAAAAAAGATCCAGAAATAACCACACCATGTAGGTTCCCTATTGGCCAGAATGTCAAACGCTTTAATAAGTTACATAAGGCATCTGCAGCCAAAGTAATCCAAAGAAGTATTCTTTTACACATCTGACATATGAGTGCCATAGGATTTTTTTTTTTAAAGCAAAATGACAGACAGACAACCCTCTGGAATTCAGTACTAATAAAAATAGTTAGGATTTGAAATCGCAAAGGAAAACTGTCCATTAGAAACTGGGCTGGGCCCACAGATATTGGCAATACTGACATTTATTCGCAAATTGCATTGGAGGTATGCTACACAGACCACTGGGAACGGCAGGAACCGTTAGAAGATTGCGTGTGTTTCTTTTAGTTCTCTAGTAAGGATTTGTGTGTCATTGACAACTTACTTTATCTGGTAAATTTTTTTTGTCTTGTTTCAGTAGAGTGAAACCTGCAAAAGAAGCTTTTGTCACAATGTACATACGTGTTTTGTCTCTGGAATATAAATGAGGTAATATGAACTCTGATCGAAAACATGGGGTTTTTTTTTCTCCACTCACAACTGAGTTCACCAGTGTTTTTCCAAAACCAGTCTGAAGTAGATTTATTCAAGCTTCTCTTAATATTCCATAAGCTCTTATGCCACACTGTTTATGTCTGTAATATCTCTCCTCAATGATACAATCAGCTTCTTTTTACCCACTGAATTTTTTACTGTAGACAGAGTTTATGAATAGATTTTCTCAAGCGTGGATCTATCTTGCATGGATTTTTTCATGTCTCTTCAGGTAGGCTTTACTCCGGAAACTTTTACCACAGACTGAGCATGCATGTGGTTTCTCTCCAGTATGAATCCTCTCATGGTGAATGAGGTTTGATTTTCTATTGAAACTTTTGCCACAGGCTGAGCAAGCGTGTGGCTTCTCTCCTGTGTGGCTTCTTTCATGGGAAGTCAGGCTTGACTTCTGCTTGAAGCTTTTCTCACAGACGGAACATGAATACGGCTTCTCCCCCGTGTGAATCCTTCCGTGGATAATTAGGTGCTCCTTACGACTGAAATTTCTACCACAGACTGTGCACATATATGGTTTTTCTTGCGTGTGGATTTTTTGGTGTTCAATATAACTTGTTCTGTGTTTGAATCTTTTCCCACAGGCTGAACAAGTATATGGTTTTTCACCTGTATGAATTCTCTCATGTATAACCACCTGTGATTTATTACCAAAGCTTTTCCCACAAACTGAGCACGGATATGGTTTCTCTCCTGTGTGGGTTCTCATGTGTCCAAGAAGGTTTGCTTTGCAACTGAAACTTTTACCACAGACTGAGCATGTAAAGGGCATCTCTCCTGTATGGATTCTTTCGTGACTGGTAAGGTTTGATCTTTGTTTGAAGCTTTTACCACAAAATGAGCATGGGTAAGGTCTTTCTTCTGTGTGAGTTCTTTCATGCGAAATAAGGTTTGTTCTCCCACTGCAACCTTTCCCACAGACTGAGCATTTATATGGAGTCTCCCCAGTGTGGACTCGCTCATGTCTAATAAGGCTTACTTTGTGAATGAAGTTTTTCCCACAGATGGAGCATGTATAGGTTTTTTCTTGAGTATGGGTTTTTTCGTGGCTAATAAGATTTGATCTTTGGCTGAAACTTTTCCCACAGACTGAGCATATGTATGATTTTCCTTCAGTATGGCTTCTTTCATGGACTGTCAGGTAACTTTTCCAGTTGAAGCTTTTCCCACAGACTGAGCACGAATAGGGTTTCTCTCCGGTGTGGATTCCCTCGTGTCCCAGAAGGCAGTCTTTACGACTGAAGCTTTTGCCACAGATGGAACATTTATATAGGGTCTCTCCGGTGTGAATTCTTTCGTGCTGGAGGAGACCAGAACACTGGCTGAAGCTTTTGCCACACACTGGGCATGTATACGGTTTCTCTCCCATATGAATTCGCTCGTGTCTGATAAGGCTTGCTTTGCGGCTAAAACTTTTCTTGCAGACTGAGCAAGCATATGGTTTTTCTCCTGTGTGGGTGATCTTGTGTGCTATTAGGCCAGAGCTCTGACAGAAGCTTTTACCGCACAAAGAGCATTTATATGGTTTCTCCCCTGTATGAATTCTCTCATGTCTAATAAGGAGTGCTTTTCGGCTCAAGTTTTTTCCACAGACAGAACATGGATATGGTTTTTCTCCCGTATGGATCCTTTCATGGCTAATGAGATGCGATCTCTGATTGAAGCTTTTCCCACAGACCGAGCATATATATGGTTTCTCTCCTGTATGGTTTATTTTGTGTCTAATAAGGTGTGACCTCCGAAGGAATTTTTTCCCACAGACTGAACATGTATTCGGTTTCTCTCCTGTGTGGCTTCTCCCATGGGAGAACAGGTAATATCTCCAGCTGGATTTCTTCTCACTGTCCAAGTGTTTATAAGATTCCTCTCCTTTAAGAAGCATTCTACCAGGCTTATGAATATTCTTTAGGGCTTTGGTTTCCCTGAAGTCACCTCCTGCACAAAATAAAACCTTTCCCTCTCTCATCCCTGGCATGTTCCCTTGGAGACTATCTACTTTGCCTTCAATTCCAGAGACCTGCTTTGTATACTGGGAGGCAGTTCCTAACAATGTCTCATTTACAGTCACTTGGTTTATGTTTTCTGATTGGAGGTCATCTTCCTCTTTTATGCATCCATTGCCTGTTCAAATAGAGAAAATCATGATAAATGAACTATTCAGACCAAAAAATTAATGGGGATTTATGTACGTCAAATGTACATCCCCAGCATGCCTATACACACACATATACACAAAGATTTATACTAAATCAGACCACTACCAGGATCAGTATACTCTACTTCGACTGGCAGCTGCTCTTTGGTTTCTCTGTTGGAGGTCTGTGGTGTTCGCTATGCAAATATGTTGGGAGTGTTTTATTTCTGTGTTTCAATGGCTGTGGCCCATGATACCACTCACCCAAAGGGATACTTGAGACAGTCATTTTTTCCACAGGCATCTGGAGATCGGAAAGCCATGGCTCTTCTTTTGGTTCCAGTTTTATTATTACAGCAGGGAACCCTGTTTCGAGGAAGGGGGAGATGTAAGTTCAGCTTCATATCATCCCAGGCACCCAGTACCAAAGGAGAGCAAAAGGTACACCAAGGGTGGAACAAGTGGATGAGAGGAAAACCTTTTAAACCCTGAACCTAGAGCCTACTGTGAACCCCACATTAAATGAACTCGTCCCCACCCTCACCTGATTGGTCATCAACAAGGTCTGCATTTTCCTCGGGTCCCTGGATCCAGGGCTCCTCTTCCTTTATGATAACATCAGGCAATCCTGAATCGAGAGAAAGTGAGGTAAGACGAGGCAGTCAGACGTGTGAGATTCAGACAGCTTGTGGTGTTAGCAGAACGCAACTGGTTGGCAAGATTTTTGTTCTACAGCTAATGGTTTGTTATTCTTTGGCTTACTGGACTCCTCACCTGTGCTGTAGTCTGACAGGATATTTCCTTCCTCCACACCCAGTTGATCTGGCATCTTTGGCTCTTCCACCTTTTCCACCTGTGAGATTGTGGTCAGGTTAGGAAGGCGAGATTCTGCCCAGGAAAGAAAGAAGTGTACTTCGTTAAGAAATAAAATTCTGTTACAAAAACTAGCTACTTCTTTACTGAACCAAGCTCTACCCTCCTCTCTACTGGCAAAGATGAAGAGAGCTTCTGGAGTCCTGGCCCAGCTGGTGGACCACTGAATCAAGCTCTACCCTCCTCTCTACTGCCAAAGACGAAGAGAGCTTCTGGAGTTCTGGCCCAGCTGGTGGACCTCCTGATGGCACCTGGGTTTGGGCCACTGTGTGACACAGTGCTGGACTGGACAGGCCATTGGTCTGAGCCAATATGGCTTCTCTTATGTTCTTAGGTAGGAACGTGAATCTGGATGTATATCCTACTATACTGTACTTTATATTAAAGGCCCGTGGTCGCTTGAACCCAAATCCTCACTCTGCCATGAAACACACTGGATAATGTTCTCTCAACGTGACCTACCTCATAGGGTTATTATCAGGATAAAATGTACACTGCCCTGAGCTCCTTGGAGGAAGGACAGGACAAAAATGTAAGAGATCAATCCCTCACCTAAGTGGTAATCCAATGCGATATCCATTTCTTCTGAACCCAGCTGATGCAGAATTCCCACTGTTTCCCCTTTTTCCAGCTGAGACATCGCATCTAGATGAGGAATGGAAGATTTTGCTACGGAACCACAGAAACTCAATTTGAAGGGATTTTTAATTTGGTGTATTTGAATTTGGTTCCAGTGTGATGCCGTGGTTAAGAGTGCCACACTAGGATCCGCAGGTTTGAATCCCCACTCTGCCATGGAAGCTTGCTGGGTGACCTGAGGCTGGTCTCAGAGGATAAAATGGAGAAGGGGAGAATGTGGTAAGCCACTCTAAGTCCCCAATGGGAAAAAAGTGGGCTGTAAATGACCACTTTGGGCTCAGGAAGCAATTTTTCTCCAGGCCATTTTGGCTGGAGATCCTGGAGGTTTTTTTGTCATCTTCCAGGTGTGAAACAGCAGTCACTGGGGATGTGGGGGGGGAGGTATTTGTGAATTTCCTTCATTGTGCAGGGAGTTGGACTAGATGACCCTGGAGGTCCCTTCCATGATTCTACGATTCTAAATACACAAATAAATAACAAATCTGGTTATTTGCTTGTCAAGCATAATGCACCTTGGGCCATCTCAAAACAAAAGAGAACGTACAGGCAGAATTCCTGCAAAACTATGAACCTGACAAGAGCTTTAAAACATAGAAAGGAGCTCTGCTGTGTATTGGGGGAGGTGGGAAGGGGGCTTTATCGGCATTTTTCACACACGGTGCAATATAAACCTTTCATCACCAAAACAAAAAAGCTGTTTGTAAAATCCTCACAGAATGGTACGACCATGAAGGGGAGAAGCGGTGATGCTCATCATGAAGCAACACCACAGGTGGGAGCCAATAGGAACTGTGTCACCTGTTAAATCATTGAACTCTGTCCAATGGGGTGCCAACATGGCGGTTAGAGTGTGGACCAGGATCTAGGAGACCCAGGTTCAAATCCCTTCACTTCCAGGGACCATCATTCCCTCTCTCAACCTGACCTACTTCATGCCATTATGGTGAGGATAAGACAGCAGAGCGCAGAAGAAAGTATGCCGCCCTGCACTCCTTCAAGGAAGAGTGAAATAAAAAGGTACTAAATACGTAACTCTCCATAGCAACTGAGGTACAACCTGCATGAAGAATTGCACAGGCGTCAGCAACAAAATAATGCAATACTGTGCTTGGAAAATACCATATCCTGCACTCTCTTTGGAGAAAACATCTGGATCTCGCCCAGCAGAGGTGTAAATGTGCACGGATTGGGGGGGAAGCCTGCAAAAAGCCCTTTGCTGCTTTATCTTTTAAATTTATACCCTGCCTATCTTCCAAAACAGCACAAGTATGGGTCTTTGGCCTGTGTCCCATCAAGCCACCCCCCCTCTTAGCATCAACTATGCATCACCTGACACTACCTTCTGGACTCCAGCACCATTCCTCACCTGAACTGCTTTCTGAGACGATCTCATTGGGCTCAGATTCCTGGTGACGCAAGGCCCGTGGCTCCTCTTCCATTTCCAGTTTTATCACTGCATCGGGAAACTCTGTTCATGAGAAGAGTGTCAGAGGAAATGAGTCAGTGGCAGATCCCTATAAAGTAGGGCTTTGCCCACAAACCCACAAAGTACAGCACAATCTGAAAGGTCTCCAAGCGGGTTAGCTTCCTGACCCCTCCTCACCTGCGCTAAACTCCGATACAACTTCCCTTTGCTCCAAAGCTGGCTGACCTGGAATCCACAGGTCTTCCTCTTGTTCCAGCTGGGAGATCAAGTCTGGCTTGACTGACAGAAATCCTGCCCAAGAACCAAGGAACAAAATTCAACAGGCAGAATTTCAGGGTTGAACTATGCTCTACACTACAGGATCACTAAATACGGCCAGCTGGTACCTACATTGGGGGGTGGGGAGGAACAGGTCTAGCTTCTGTTTGTGAATTATTCTTCACTGAAGTCAGTGGTTTTCTCCTACTTCCTAATTACAGGGAATCTTCTCCTTGTCTTGTCTGCAAAGAAACTCCTGCATGGAGCCGCCGCACACAGCAAAGGATTCTTGGACAGAAGAGCCTTTTATTTACCCTGAGGGAGCTGACTAGCGCCACCGCCACTGCAGCGTTACTCCTTGAGTGCCTCTGAATGTGGAGGTTCCCCTCAGTCACCACTGAAAGACTTATCCTTCATGGATCTATCGAATCCCCTTTTAAAGCTGTTTATTCCTGTGGCCAGCACTACATCCTCTGGCACTGAATCCCACATTTTAATCACTCTGTGTAAAGTCGTATTTCCTTTTTCGGAAGGTCTGTAGCACTGAGCAAGCAGCCTGTGAAGTGCCAATGAGGGCCAACCCTGCTTAGTTCCCAAGATCTGACTAGATAAGGGCTATCCTGATTAGGGCATTTACCTATCTAAAGGCGATGAGATCCCTCTCAGGGAAACTGAGGTGTTTCCTAAAGAGGTAGTTGACTGAAACACAAGGAAAAGAGATTCCCTACCCAAGGAGGACATGTTTTCAAAGTTTTCCTGCATGACGTCCCGGTAAAGAGCCTTCTGAAGAGGATCCAACAGAGTCCACTGGCTCTCCGTGAAATACACAGCTACATCTTCAAAAGACACATGGCCCTGAAGGAGGAGGGATAAGAAGTACTGTATATGTAAGGAGACAGTGCTTTATGTCCTTCCAAGGAGGAGGAGGAAGAGGAGGAGGAGGAAGAGGAGGAGGA